TCACCAGTAAACGTGGCTTTCTGGACATCTATTCTAAATTGCATTTTGTGTCCTGATTGGAAATTTTATCTTCATGGTGTAGAACCAGAAGGGATGTACAGTAACAGGTATCACCAGCTAGCAACACAGAACTCTCTAGATTTCCTTTTGTTGGTGTCTTAAAGTGACACTAAACTCTGGAGATAAATCTTAAAAATACTTTCAAGTACCCTAACTATTACAAAAAATATATTATTTGTGTATCACTCAACTGTAGATCCTCAAATCATCTGTGAATTAGTGCTGACACTGTCCTTCCTTCTGGAGGGGAGCTACTTTTGTTCTCCAAGATCCCTGTGTGTGCTGTAAAGTAGCCGCCGCTCCAAGCTCACTCCTGTGATGGACTACAATCTCATATTTACTTTACTCATTTGTATTGAGATTGTAGTCCATCACGGGAGTGAGCTTGGAGCAGCGGCTACTTTACAACACACACAGGGACCATGGGGAATAAACGCAGCCACTTATGTGGCAGCTCAAATTAAAAGTAACGTAATACAAAGAAATCATTTTCATGAGAAGTAGCATGACTTAGCTTCAAAAACATTCCCCTGTAGCCCTCACCTAATATTAACCCTTTCTAATCATTGGTTTTCATAAAGCAATACAAAACTTGGCAAGTCCTCAATTATGTAACTAGTCAGTACAAACAGTGTAATATAATTGTTTCATCATTTAGATTAAAAACAAAGGTTTGTATTTCATACATTTACAAATACATAAAAATCAACACTGCAAATTATGTTTTCTAACTCTAAACTCTCTGAGTTTCTTAATAGGGGACATCTGTTTAGGCAGCAACAGCAGGGATCAGATGGGACACAGAGGATCCAGTTGCTGGCACCCAGTGGGGGGGAAAGAAGCAGTAAGGAGGCATTGGGCGGGTTGGGGAGGAGACAACTATCAGCTGTCACAGGAGGCCGAGCTCTCCTCCGGCACCACTCCACTCAGGCGGAGCAGTGACAGGCGGAGCAGTAAGGATGGAGAGCGGAGTACAAACACTCAGCGATCAGTACTGATAAATAATTGTAAATAATTTAGGTCATAGTAAGCTGTGTCCGCAGTTTTGAATGAACAGGAAGTGCTCTACATCACTTCCTGTTCATTCATGATTGTGGACATAGTAACTCATACTGTCTCCGGAGTGGACAGGAGCACTCAGTATAGAGGCTTCCTGTTCACTCATAACGGGGACTGCAGAAAAACTGATTTATAACTCTGTTTCTTTGTTTTCTATTTTAAATGGGAAATATCAGGGGTCTGTTTAAACTCCTGATATTTCCTCAAAGCCCCTAACAGTAAAGTAAAAAAAAAAATAGTAAAAATAAAACAATTTAAAAATAATGTACATTTCTGTTTAAAAAAAATAGTCGGGTTTGGGTTTCAGTATCTCCCTGACAATTTTTTAAAATTTTGGTGCATCCCTAGTATATATATATACATATAT